CCAGCTATCTTGCTGAAAAAACTACAATATCTTTCAAATCACAAGTCTACCATTAAATTGTAAGTTTGTTTCACCGTTTAATAGAGTTTAGAATTTATTTTCAGAATATTATCAATAAATAAATGGTCAATTTATTTAGTTTATTTCTACTACATTTCCTGCAATTAGACTCTGCTCCCCCTAGGGGGCATGCACCCCCCTTTGGGAACTACTAACCTAGAGTATGCATTTAGATTAGTTCAGATTAAAGGACATTTTAAATTGTCAGGAAACATTTTTTCCATGAAACCCATACTACTAAATTAGAAATAGATTTGAACCCTAACCCTGGCTGATTTAGTTATATAATCATAAATCTTTGAAGTTTATTTACTATAAGCAGAAAATGATCCTAATTAACAGAAATAAGGGCTTAAAACAGGCTTTAAATCTCAGATCTATAATTTTTGCAGAATCAGAACCTCAGCTTATCTAACTTTTATGCAAAATGTTAAATGCAAAATGTTTACATATTTTTTACAATCTTGTTATAAGTCCTGCTTGAAGTGTGTTGCTCTGTGTCGGCTAAAAGCACATTTTAGTGGCCCTATACTCCAGTTAATGATTATTCAATTACTAAATTAGTTTACGAATATTTAAATGATTGATTAATATGATTAATATTTTCAGCCCTAGATAAAATACATGAAATGGGCGACACAGAGTAACTACAGCCCATTTGTAAAACTTGTATAGTGAAGTTAATATTTTAAATGTCAGTGTCAGTTCCTATTATGGTTCCAGTGCACACGCAAATATAATACATTTATTTACCGTCCCTTGAATGCATTATTTTGCATGATCCATAGAGCGCATATTAGATAAAAAAAAATAAGGGTGGGTTAACCTCTACACAATTCTATATCTTCATAAGAAAACAGGATAAATCCACATATAAAAGACACATTTGTACTATATTTGGTTAAATAGGCACTGTCTTAGTCGCTGGTAAGTTTAAATGCAAACCTTTTCAAAGTGGAAAAACGTCCTAATTCCACATTCATTAGAGCCAGTGATGCTTTAAACATGGATAAACAGCATCTAGTGTTTGTAGTGCTTATAAGATTTGTATGAATGTAGCAAGAAATGCTGCTGTTCTCTTTGAACAAAATGTGCCCTGATGCTCACATTAAGCATATTTTTGAAAAGGACCAATGTCATCAGACCAATAGTGTCCCTAACAAAGTTGAAATCAAACCTAAGCCCTTGCCATAAAAAGTTGCTTAATGCATTCTACTAAGGTATCCATGGAGACCAATATGTTTACCACAGCATGTTTTAAAAATTTAAAAAATACTGTCCTTTTCAAGTTCCAATGTATTAAAAAAAAAAACGTTTTATCCTAAAATATATATTTTTTGTACTTTTTCAATCATTTCCACATTAAATTCATCAAAGATTATTCTCTGAAACCAAAATTTGTTTTTTTTTTTTTTTGGTATCATTATATCTCATACTCAAAAATATCTTTTTTTTCCTTTTTTAAATACAAAAAATAAACAGTTTGGCTTGATAATATATCATGTTAAATGTCCTTTATAAGTCGTTTTATATTTATTTGATGTCATTTCACCAACATATCCATATAGAGCTAACATATTTTCAGGGCATTTTTTAAAAATCATAGCCCTATCCCATGTAGATTTTAAACATTTCACATAAAATTCAACAAAGATGTTTCTCCTAAACACAAATTGTTTTTTTTCCGTATCTCCGTAAAAATTAAGTCGACTAAAAACACTTTTGATCTCTGAGATGTCACAGATGCTAGCAGTCAAAACTTCATGAATTTTTAAAAATGTCTTATAATTTTTTACGTTACATTTTTTTTTAAATTAACATAACAAAAGAGTAAACATAAACCTTCCAGGTGATTCTCCAAACAGGTGTCCTCCTCCGATGGGATGGTCATCTTTGGCAGGTATCAAAGCGCAGACTGCAGCAAGTTCAACCTCCAGGTTAGAAAGTAGCGGTTAAAAATGGCAGCGACGTTTAGAGACGCGCTCCGTTTCCGTGGCAGCGGGTGAGCGTGCGCACGCACGCACGTGCGCGCGCGCGTGGAGAAGAACAGCTAAAGGTGAGTTCAGCACTTAATAAGGCAGAGGAACGAGTTCTAAAGCTCACTGGCTGCTTTCTAAGGTTTTCTACCATAGTTTGAAATATTGTTCAATAAAATTTGAATTTGGAAAGAAATTTAATTCTGAATGAGAGAGGTGCTTTCTTCCAATTGCCGTTCCGATTTGCGTCCGTGTACACGTCCATTCAGATCTATGGAGTAAAATAATCTCCACTGTGGTGGACGAAGTATTCAATAGTAGTACTTGATAGTATTAGTAAAATCTTGTTCAACTACAATTAAAGGAAGAGTCCGGTCGGCAAGGAATAATCAATGGATCATTATTTATTACTAAAACCAATACATTTGCAGTGATTTAATGAATTTAGCGTTAATCAGTATATATATATATATATATA